AGGTTTGTTGAGAAGCTTGTTGAAGAGATCGAAGCCAAACGGGGACTAGAGGGTCGTTATAAAAAGTATGTTTCGCAACTCTTTGCTGGTAATCAATATCTTTCAAAAGTTACTCTTGAAGATTGGCTACGCTGATGGTTGAGAAACAAACAGAAGCACAGGAGCAGATTGCTAAAGCAGGTCAAGAACTGCAGACCGTGGTTACTTCTACGAAGGAACTTCAAAAACAAGTGAGCTTAAATTAAAATTAAACTAAATGAGAGAATTGGGAGAATGCTATGAAGGGATTTTCATTTTTGCTGAAATTTTGATTCAAGTTAAATAAGATTAGATTTGTTACAAAACACTCGGATTCTCCGATTCCTAGAACAATCAACGATTTGTTCAGCTCGAAGAGGAAATTTCAAAGAAGTACGATGGTCGAAGGGTAAACATCATGGGAGGAATAACCGCAGCTCTCGCCAATCGCTAGTTCCCAGTTCAGTCTCCTAGCTTCATAGGTATTCCTAAAGTTGCTATACAGAAATTGATTAGGTGGGCTGATGAATGTTTTGTTATCTTTTTGTATTTTTCTCGGATTATCTGTAAGTGAATGTTGAGCGCTCCTGTTTGTTCCTTTCAAAGTATTGTCTTGTTTGTTCCTTTCAAACTATTGTTTTAATTGTTATCAATTTTCCTGTACTCCCCCTTTCTTCTTTTGAAAACTGACAATTTCATCAATCATAGCATTGTGATTCTGTTTGTGATATTATTCTTGTTTTTAAAATGATAATAATGGTAATAAATATAAGGGCGGTTTTACCTTATTGGGGACCTTCAGTTAGTATTGAGTGCGTCTTAAGATCAGCTGTGCCAACATAAAAACAAGGCCGTTGTCTACAAGGTCAAGAATGGGAATGGAATTATTTGGCCCTTTTCGCAAACCATACTCTGTTGCACAACTGCAAATCCTCATCTTCTGTTCTCTTCAATGGTTATTTTCGGTTTGAATGGTGAAGTCTAAATCATAGGAAGATGCTACACTTTAGTGACCGTATGGGAGGGGAAGGAATTGGCTCGTCTTTTTTACGACTTACACTTTCCGCATCATACATGCCAACATGATGCTTTCCCCTCTCTTTCCCC